GGACGAATTGACCTCATACCCTAATTCGCCTAGCAAGCTACCTCGAAATGGTCCCCATGGGAAAAACGTTGAACAGAATGTTAAGAGGAAGATAAGGAGAAAGTAACATACACGGAAGAACGAAGTATATCATGCAAAAGGCAAAAGGGGGAAAGGATCTAATATGAAACAAAAAGAATCACTCTATCTCTTCCTTGCTCTCTCATTGAAACAAAGTCGGTAAGGAAAGGAGCAGAGGTTAGAATGTCGATTTCATCTACTAATTTTGCACTCATACTCTCCTTCACATTCTTCTCAACTCTCCTCATGCTCTCTTCTCCTCGCACTCTCTTCCTCATACGCGCACACTCTCCCTCTCAATCTGTGCCTCTCCGGTATTCTTTATCACATAGTATTTTCGCACATGACTATTCTCTCACTCCCTTTCACAGTTTGAACTCACCAAGTTCTGCCGACATGCTCGTGCCCTTCTTTGCTGCTGCCGACGCGGATAATGCGCATGACGCTGAGCGTGGTGCGCGCCTGGCACCAGCAAAAACACACCAGCGCGACTTGCACCAGCAAAACGACGGTAGTGAGAGGATAAAGAAGGGGAAATGAAGAAGAGAGAGAAGAAGGGAGGGAGAATCGAGAGAGAACGGTAAAAAGGAGATAAATGAGAAGAGGGAAGGGAGGGAAGAGAGGTGAACACACATGTGAAGGAAAACAATAAGATGCATTAAAGATAATCAACGCACCGACATAAAAATTAGGCCTTACGAAACGACAACACGTCAGTTTCTGGATAAGACTGCTCTAAACTGAGTGTGAGAAAAAAAAGAATGAAAACATGAAAATACGAGGTGGTAAAAACGCAACCGACGAAAAGGAAAAGTAAGGACGGTGGATAGAGGAAACGGATGGCAGATTATGCACGAAGAAACGAAACCAAAAAAATACAAGAAAGTTACGAAGTCTTTACAAAGGGCCCTAAGCTTAAACATCATAGTCTAGCTAATAAGTCATATTTTTACACAGTTAGGTATTAGATTACTACGCTTGTCTATCTAAGACTCATCTAACTTCGTTGCAGTTGAGCATGGGGAGTAGTTAGGGGGGAGCTTAGGCACTTATGCTTCTCACCTTCCTCTGGTACGTGGGGTGCTCAGCGTGACCAGCGAGAGAAAAAAAGAACACAAACCCTAATGGAAGGAAGCATTTCGTCGCGTTGTTATTTAATAAATATTTTTCGTGTCGACGTTGAGACATCTGTGATGGCGTAGTCGGTAGGAGATCGTATATTTTCGACAGGTCCTGGTGTCGATCCTCGCGTGGTCAGTTTTGCTACTATCAACAAGAAACATGTACTCGGTATAAAAAGTAGAGCAATCATTAGAAAGGAGATCCATACTAGCTGTTAGATCCGTATAATGTTAGTTACGCAACAAGCTTCGCAACCCTAGGACGACCTTGTCGCCTCTTGTTTTTTTTTTAAGGAGGTGAAATCACATTATACAATGCAAAAAACACCATCCACGGTCGTAACCGGGCTAGAGGGCCTGGGTACAATTGTACCGTACCCTCGCGGAAACATCTAAGGTGGTTTAAAAGTCAGGTGCCTAAATATTGCAATCTGCCCGTTCAGAATTCTCTTCACGCCTTTGACATTTCTCACTCCTGGCAGAAACACCTTGTAGCATCCCACATGCTGTACTTGTTGCTTCATACAGGTGCCGAACTTGCCTTGCCGAAACTGGTAGGTTGGGGTGGTTGCACTCTTCACCTTCTTGAGGCGAAAGACGAAAGGAGTGGTTGCTGTGAAAGCCAATTTAGCACGAATGCGGTGAAAACCGGTTCCAATGGCATATGTGGTCGGACGTTTTGGGTGACGCAAACTGGCTTGAACGGCTCCCAATCTTCGATGCGGGGACTGACGACGAGATGTCGCAGCAGCAGCTGAAGCTGCTAACTCAGATCTGATGTTCACTCCATGAAACAAGATTCCTTCACGAAAACATTTAGCTCCCACGGACGAGAACTCCTTAGAACATTGCCGCCATGAATCATCATCTTCTAGCTGCAGATGCGCATCTTGTAGTTTATTAGTGTCACCAAAGTCATCCATGTTTGTATGAGTTTCAGGGTCATTGTCATTGTCGGCGTTGTCTTCTCGTTGAACATAAAAAACTTGGAGTTTCTTGTCTAGATCTTCATGCTTAAGCGTTTCAGAAAGGAAGATGACTTCATCATCAAGCACTTTAGAAGCTATCGAAGTAAAGATCTTGGACTCTTCATGAGATAAACGTGGTTGTCGATGAATGGCAGCAAATGACGATAAACGGAAGATGTTCCGTTGACGAACTTGTTTGAACTTAGATTTCCCGTGCTGTCTTCTTTGGTGAATACTTAAATCGTGTCCAGCCATTATGTTCTTCGTCGGAGCATCTTTAGCAATGTCTGAAGCTTGAAAGTATTTAACCTGAAAACACGGGAACTTTAAGAAGCAGCTTCGATCAACCAATGTCCGCTGTGTGGACATAATGTCGGTGTCGATAGTCAGCTCCTGGTCTGTAGATCCCGAAACTGTGTGGACTTTCGTTGATATTGGCGACGCCACAGAAATCCTCATTCTACGACCTTGCGACTTCCCACTTTGTCGTCGTGGGTACTCTGATCTGATGTTGGATCTCGCGCCATAAGTCCTAAAATTGTTTCTAGGTTCACCCAGAGATTCGATGTTGAACCCAGGTTTGCAAAGGTGCACCGATTGTGCTTCGACCCAGGGCTAACATTTCAGGTCTGTTGTAAGTTACCGAACCTCTTCCGAACCGCTTTAGGGGACACGTCCTAAGTTTCCTATACTCCAAGGTAAAATTTGCTGACGTAGTACTTCGGCCGCAATTAGGCAGCGGAGTTTCCGGCTGGAGGTTTGACGCAGACGCCCGTCGCGGGAAATTAGCGTAGCAGCTTAGCTGGCAGCACCTCGCAACTAGGCTGGAGGATTGCGCCGCCTCGGAGGAACGTGCTTCTTGACTACTATAGTAGTACTGTCAATGTCTGGACTCGTCTGTCAAGTAGCAGTACAAATGCGCGTTGCTGGAAGCAACGAAAATCGTTTTCGGCGGCGACGCAAGCGAAGAGCCAATTGATATGTCACGTCATTGCGTTGTTGGTACTTGAAGCATGTGACACATATCCTCAGGAACTATTTTGCCGAAACCCTAACTTCATCCAACTTTAGCATAACGGCGCGCTCAGACCTCGCTTCTGGTTCTCGCTCTTGCTTAGCTCACTAAGACATTTATCTAAACCGAGTCTAGAACATTCACAGGACACTCTCCTTCCGTTACAGGACTAGATACCATCTCCACCACCATACCCGTACCGTAACCGGGGAGTGAATTCACGGAAGGTCGCCCCTGAGGCCCTTCACAAGTTTCCGTACGAGGAGCTGGTACGGAAGGTCGCCCCTGAGGCCCTTCACAAGTTTCCGTACGAGGAGCTGGTACGGAAGGTCGCCCCTGAGGCCCTTCACAAGTTTCCGTACGAGGAGCTGGTACGGAAGGTTGCCCCTGAGGCCCTCCAAAAGGAGCTGGAGCGGAACTTCCGCTACTGGACCAGCCAGTCGACAAGGTTATCCCGTCCGCCGTATCTGACGTGTACATCGTCCGCCTCCGCGCCGCCCCGCCAATCGCGGGATGCACCGGCGGAATCAACGGGATTGCCGCCACGGCAGCAGAGGCTGTCAGAGACTCGGTGTCTGACGTCATCAACTCAGTGACTGGCCAGATTCGCAGGGGGCGTCGCCGAGCGAGTCGCCAATCGTCGCGACTGAACCTGGGGGCGCCAGCAGTCGCACAGTTCAAGCAGTGGCTCGATCGGCTGCAGGATGGAGTTGCGAATGACGTGCGCCTGCCACGCGCGAATGTACTGTACAAGTGAGTTGTAACAATCAATGGAAGCTAATATGCTACTTTAGATGCACTACACTTAATTTTCCAAACCTATTTTCTCCCTCTGCCAGTTCACTGATTCTCCCTCTGCCAGCTCATCACCCCTTTTTTTCTGCCCACTTCCCCCCCATCGTTTCCAGATTCAAGCACGTCAGCAATGCCTTTGTGGCGCGATTGACACCTAAGCAGCTGCAGCAGCTGAAGCGGCACCCAGCAGTTGCAGAAGTCAAGTCCAACTACCGAATCAGCAAGCTCACCACCGACTCTGCAAACTTTCTAAACCTACCCGGGACGCTCTGGACTGCCCGGGGTCGCGAGCGGGCAGGAGAAGGTGTAGTCGTTGGAATAGTTGACACGGGTTTTTGGCCGGAACACCCTTCATTCTCCTCGAATGTTACTCCACCTGATCTTCCATACCCTAACCCTCCATCAATCTGGAGAGGCACCTGTCAGGTGACATCTGATTTCAAGTGCAACAGAAAGGTGATTGGCGCGAAAATTTGCAACTCGGGGTTCCGGATGTGGTTCGGGCAGGAAGACACGACCGCTGATTGGACATCGGCTCGGGATGCGGATGGGCACGGCACCTGGTGTGCAGCGTGAGTGATCCATCCACTCCCCCCCTTGCCTCTTGCTTTTGAGTCGACTGCTGACGCGAGTGCTGATTGGACATCGGCGCGGGATGCAAACGGGCACGGCACTTGGTGTGCAGCGTGAGTGTTCGATCCACACCCCCTTGCCTCTCGCTTTCTTGCTTTCCATGGCGACTTTTGAGTCGACTAAAAAGGCACCTGGCGTGCAGCGTGAGTGATCGATATGACACCCCCATGCCTCACCATCATGTTGCAGAGTATTTTTGAGAATTCTCAAAAATACTCTGCAAGATCGATACGATACCCCCGTGCCTCACCATTTCTTGCCTTTCACTTTCCACTTCAACCCTCTGAAAGACCATAATGAATGTCACTCTTTCTTGCTTTTCCGTTGTTGGACTCCACCTAAAAAGGCACATGCCGGCACCACCACTGGCATGATCGGGCTCCCCGGCCCCCGGGCCTTCCTCTTACCATGCTCTCAGGATCCATCCCCCTTCAGCTTTTGAGGCGCCTCAAAACCCGGGCCTTCCTCTTAGTCTGTAGGATCCGTCATGTTGTTGTCTATCCCCTTTCAGCCCATAAGTCTGACTTTTGAGTCGACTCAAAAGTCACCCCGGGCTTTCCTCTTAGTCTACAGGATTCAACATGTTTCTTTCTTTCCCTCTACAGCTCATAAGGCTGAAGTACCAAACGCGTTTGAGCCTCTTCTCCTTCTCCCCTCGTCTCCCACTCCTCTCCTCTCCCCTCCACTATACAGAGCGGCATCAGGCAACAGCAACGTACCTGTGGTGCCCTCCCTCTGCTTAACCCCCTTCGCCTGCCTCCCCCACCCCTCCTCTCCCACCCCTCTTTCCCATTCAATAATGCAGAGCGGCAGCGGGCAACAGCAACGTGCCTGTGGTGCTATCTCCCCGCGACATAAACGTCGGCAACGCCACCGGCATGGCACCCCGCGCCTTCCTCGCAGCCTACAAGGTCTTCTGGGGCAACTCTGTCACAGGCGGCGGGATCACTGCCACGTATGCTGACGTGGAGGCAGCAGTCAACGCGGCTGTCGCTGACGGGGTTGACGTCATCTCGCTCTCCCTGGGCGGCGCAGACCCCAGTGCCACGTATTTCAGCGATCTACCGTATTTATATGCGAATCTGGCCGGCACGGTGGTGGTTTATGCAGCGGGGAACTCCGGTCCTCCTCCTCTCACCTCTTCAATGTATCGCAGCATCTCCAACTTCTCGCCATTCTACCTCACTGTTGGCGCCAGGTGGGTTTCCAGGTGGCTTTCTGTTGGTGCCAGGTTAGTGGTAGGTGTCCTCAGGAGTTGACGGGGTTGACGTCATCTCGCTCTCCCTGCGCGGCGCAGACCCCAGTGCCACGTATTTCAGCGATCTGCCGTATTTATTCGCGAATCTGGCCGGCACAGTGGTGGTTTATGCAGCAGGAAACTCTGGCCCGCCTCCCATGAATCCACGTGATAAAAGTGTTGTTTTGAGACGTCTCAAAACAACACTTTTATCACGTGTCCGGCACAGTGGTGGCCGGCACGTGCAGCAGGAAACTCGGGCCCGCCTCCCATGAATCCTTCAATGTATCGCAGCATCTCCAACTTCTCGCCGTTCTTCCTCACTGTTGGCGCCAGGTGTGTTTCGGGCGCTTTTCCGTTGGTGCCAGGTGAGCTGTCAGGTGCTTTTCTGTTAGCCCCAGGTGAGCCGCCAGGTGCTTTTCGTTGGCGCCAGGTGAGTGCTAAGTGTCCTCAGGAGGGTGGCGCTATGTGTTCAATCCAGGCCATGCGTGTGCCAAGTGAAGTGAAGGCCACCCCTGCCTTCGCCCTCCCCTCCCCTCCCCTCCCCCCCCCCTCCCCTCCTCTCCTCTCCTCTCCTCTCCTCTCCTCTCCCTCCCTGCAGCACCATCGCTTGCAGCTACGTCTCTTCAGCCACGCTGGGCGACGGGCGAGTCGTGAAGCTGTACGGCCTTGTGCATTCCGGTATCAACCTCTCCTCCCCCTTTTTCCCTCCCCTTTCCCCTCCCCCTTTTCCCCTCCCCTTTCCCCTCCCCCTTTTCCCCTCCCCCCTTTCCCCTCCCCCTTTTCCCCTCCCCCCTTTCCCCTCCCCCTTTTCCCCTCCCCCCTCTCCCCCTGCAGCACCATCGCTCGCAGCTATGTGTCGGCTGCCACGCTGGGCGACGGGCGGGTGGTGAAGCTGTACGGGTTTGGCTCGGGAAACGTGCCGGTGCAGGGACTGGGGCTGGTGGAGGGCGCTGCAGCGCGGGCAGCCGGGAAGACTGAGATCGAGGTGGGTGTGGGGAAGGGCAGATGCAGTGCGGTGCAGGGTCTGGGGCTGGTGGAGGGTGTTGCAGCGCAGGCAGCCGGGAAGAGTGAGATCGAGGTGAGACTCGGAAGGAGATAATGAGCTTGAGTGTCAATGTCTGGCTGGCACTCAGGCAGGGTCGTGACTCCAGCTCCAGCAGCAAACTGCCCTGAGTTGACTTTTGAGGCGACTCAAAAGTCAACTCGTATGGGGCCACCAGCACCAGCAGCAACCTGATCCACTCCCATTCCCTCCCCTTTGCTCCCTCACCCTGCAGGGTCAGTACTGCGCTGAATGCTCACTGAGCGCCTCCAAAAATTCAGGGAAGATCGTTCTGTGGTCGTATGAATGGGCCACCACCGGCAGCAACCTTCGTTGATCCACTCCCATTCCCTCCCCTTTGCTCGCCCACCCTGCAGGGTCAGTACTGCGCTGAATGCTCACTGAGCGCCTCCAAGATTGCAGGGAAGATCGTTCTGTGGTCGTATGAATGGGCCAGCACCGGCAGCAACCTTCGTTGATCCACTCCCATTCCCTCCCCTTTGCTCGCCCACCCTGCAGGGTCAGTACTGCACTGAATGCTCACTGAACGCCTCCACAATTGCAGGGAAGATCCGACTTTTGAGTCGACTCAAAGGTCTTCTGTTGCGATTGTATGATTGGACCAGCACCAGGAGAAATCCCTATTCCACTCTCTTCCGCCTCCCTTTCCTCTCGCCCTCTGCCCCGACCCTGCAGGGTCAATACTGTGCTGAAGGCGCACTGAACGCCGCCAAGATTGCAGGGAAGATCGTTCTGTGCTCGTATGGGTGGACCAGCAGCAGAAGCAAGGCAGCAGAGGTTGCTGGGAAGGGCGGCAGCGCTGTGATTGTAGTGGATGTGCCTGTAACAGCCAGAACGTACCCTATTTATGAGGCTCGGCTGCCGGTCATGGGATCAGAGGCGAGCGAGACGGGTGTTTTGCGCGCGTACACCCGCACTGCTGCCAGGTGAGGGGTTACTACACTCGCTTTCTGCGTTTAGCAAGGGCTATCCCCTCACACGTCTGCCATACCCACAGGACACACACAGCTAAACCCAGTCCGACCCGACTTCCCCTTTCCCGCTTTCCCCCACCTCTCCTCCTACCCCTCCTCCCATCTCCCTCCCCCCCCCCCCCTTCTCTTCCGCTCCCTCTCCCTCTCCCCTCCACCAGCCTGGCTGCTTCCAGTAACCACCAGTCAAGCCTACAAAGCCGCTTCTTCTGTTTTAACTCACGCTTTGAGACGTCTCAGAACCAGCCAGGCTGTTTCCAATAACCAGCAATCAAGCCCTCAAAGTCGCTTATTCTGTTTTGACTCACGAGTTCCTTCCCGTCCCTTACCCTCTCCCCGTCTTCTTCGTCTCGCTCTCTTCCCCTCTCCCCATCGCTCCCCCCTCCGCCAGCCCGACTGCATGCGTCGCCTACACTTTCAAAACAGCCTCGACCACTAATCAAGCCTTGAAATTCGCTTTTATTTCCTTCGACAAAAGAGTTTCCTCCCGTTCCCTACCCATTCCCCCTCTCCCCATCGCTCCCCCCTCCGCCAGCCCGACTGCATCCTTCGCCTACACCTTCAAAACGGGCGTAACCAGCGATAAAGCCCTCACGCTTATTCGCTTTTGACTCACAAGTTTCCTCCCCCCACCTATCCACTCCCCCGCTTCCCCCCTGTCCTTTCCTTTCTCGCCCTCCCCTCCGCCAGCCCGACTGCATCCTTCGCCTACACCTTTAAGACGGACGTAACCAGCGACCAGGTTTTGAGGAGTCTCAAAAGACAAGGCCTTGAAAATTGCTTTCGTTTCTTTTGACTCACAAGTTCCCTCCCGCCCCCTACCCATTCCCCTCTCCCCGTCGCCCCCCCCTCCGCCAGCCCGACTGCATCTTTCGCCTACACCTTCAAGACAGACGTAACCAGCGATCAAGCCCCGGACGACGCGTATTCCCTTCTGACTCACAAGTTTCTTTCCCCTATTCCACCCCTACCCCCCTGTCCTCCCTCTACCCCCCCTCCGCCAGCTCGTCTGCATCCTTCGCCTACACCTTCAAGACGGACGTAACCACTGAGCACACCTTGAAAATCGCTTTCATTTCCTTTGACTCAGGATTTTCCTCCTGTCCCCTGCCCACTCCCCCTCACTCCCCCCTCCGCCAGTCCGACTGCATCCTTCGCCTACACCTTCAAGACAGATGTAACCAGCGATCAAGCCCCGGATGTCGCGTATTTCTCGTCTGCTGGTCCGCTCGTCAACCCCGCTACTGCAGCCACCCTCTCTTTCCCCACCAACGACATCTTAAAGCCCGATATAATCGCTCCCGGCGTTTCTCTATGGGCCGCTGCGCCGTCCTCGTCTCTTGCATCTGCTTCTACCCCCGCTTACGCCATGCTTAGCGGAACCTCCATGGCTACTCCGCACTTGGCGGGAATCGCGGCGCTGCTCGTCGAAAGATACCCTGCTTGGTCACCGTCGCAAGTCATGTCCGCGATTATGACTACAGCGAGCGTGACTAATACTAAAAACGGGTCGATCGCCGCGGGTTTGACTGGAAACAAGGCAACGCCGTGGGATATGGGAGCGGGCCACGTCAATCCCAATGGTCTTATGGACCCTGGGCTAACTTTTCCCGCCAGCGCTACGGATTATTATAACTTCCTTGCCGGGCAGAACTTGGTGAGCGCCAAAAGTTCCGTGCCAATCAGAACGAAGCTGTCGCCGATTCCAGCGTACAATTTGAACCGCCCGACGATTTCTGTCTCGCGGCTGAAAAAAACAGTGCTGGTATCGCGAACGGTGCAGAACGTTGCGAATACAGTATCCAGCTACACTTCAACTGTGGTTGCACCGCCTGGTGTTACTACAGTCGTAAGTCCTAATAAATTCACAATCCCTCCAATGCGGGTTGTAACATTCACTATCAGGTTCACAGTCGCTAAGGCGTCTCCCGGTTTCCAATTCGGAAGCCTGACATGGAAGGACCAGTTTGGCCACGTGGTGCGGTCAGTGCTGGCGGTGCAACCTCTTTCCAAATAAGGCTCAAGGATGGAGTCAGGCATCTCAAAAGGACTCCTGATACCTTCCTCCTACGGCCAATGTATATGTCTTCCCCTTGAGTTATTCCCAGGTGGGACCCTAGTACGGTATTACCAATAAAGGGAATGGCTCCCTGCCTGCCCTGTGCAATGATTTGATCGTAATTGGTGCTCCTGCCATCCATCCATGTCATGACATGGCCAGGCGTGTTGTTTGCATAAACGAGTCGTGCTGTGCGTGTATAATGGAGTACAAAGCGAGTGGAAATCATGAACAAGTGCTCAGTACCAACCACTCACAACACTGCCATTGCGGATGTTTTCTCCCTAACCATTTCTCTGTGTGATGTGGTGGTGGTGGTCTCTGTAATTCTGGTTGGACAGCCGCACATATAGTGCTCCACTAAAGGAGGTTGGAAACTCTGTATACAGCTGAAAGATCAGCATGAGCAGTTACGGAAGGAGGATTAATCAGCGTAGGTACTGAAAAAACACATCATCATGAACTCCTACCCAAATCAGGGTAAATTGGCTGACTAGTGGTAACACACGTTTCCTGTACAGCATGTATCCATCCATCAGTTCCAGCAATCATGCGCGGAAAACTACCATCACTCTGAAAAGATATCATGCTACAAGTGAGCATGGCATGTGGATGAGTCCAGAGACCTGCCAATACAAAAAGCGGGAAGCAAAAACATACCGGTATGTAGGAGCGGGAGAAACCCCCATGAAACATGGCGAAACCACTATCGGAAAGCAAGGAATGAGGGAAAGAGGCAAAGTTCCAAGTCAACCATACAACCCTGAACCGTCTGTCTGCCTTAACATAAACCACAATCTCTGCTTGCATAACCAACGTGGAAGTGCTTTTCCCCCCATGGCACACGGCAGCGACTCTCAGGCAGCTAGGCACGAGGCAGCAGTCACTCGGCTATTCACTCAGCCAAGCAAGAGCCAGCTTTCAAGTACTCTCATAAACTGCTACTCACTCGGCTTGGACAACCAGGGCGGATGCACCAACCCCCCCCATTGCAAACAGCAGCGACTCCAGGGCGGCTAAAGGCAGCTCGCTTCTGATAAGTCCCACAAACCAGACTCACTCGGCTTGGACAACCAGGGCGGATGCACCACCACCACCATTGCACACAGCTGCCACTCCCAGGCGGCCCTCATGCTTCCTGAGCACGCCCAGCAGCGAGACGACAATGCGCGCCCCACTGCTCCCCAGGGGATGCCCCAGCGCCACCGCCCCCCCATGCACGTTCAAGCGCTCCTCAGGAATGTTCAATAGCTTCTGATTCGCCAAAGCCACCACCTGGTGGGTGGGGGTGGGGGGTGAATGGGAAGGGTGAAATGCGGTGGAGTGCGGTGTGGAGGGGGAAGTACCAGCGCCACCGGGTCCCCACGCACGTTCAGGCGCTCCTCGGGAATACCCAGCAGCTTCTGATTCGCCAGAGCCACCACCTGGAGTGGCGTGCAGGGTTGTTATGGGGCAGGTGAGGAGGTTGAGAAGGGTGACGTTCAGTGGAGTGTGGGGAGGGGCAATTAACGGCAGCCACTCGCAGCCGCTGCCCCCCCATGCTGGTTAGAGCGGCTGAGTGCATACTTGGATTGATTGTTGATAAGCACCTGGCATACGCGCATGGCTGCCTTGGATCAGCTCACCGAGAGGCACTGCCAGCCAGCCAGTGCCAAGGCAGCTGATCCAAGGCACTGCCAGCCAGCCAGTGCCAAGGCAGCTGATCCAAGGCACTGCCAGCCAGCCAGTGCCAAGGCAGCTGATCCAAGGCACTGCCAGCCAGCCAGTGCCAAGGCAGCTGATCCAAGGCACTGCCAGCCAGCCAGTGCCGAGAAGTGCCTTGGCTGCCAGCCAGCACTGGCAGCACTTGTTGACTGCTCCCACAAGTGAGTGAGCCTTTTGAGACGAGAAGTGCCAAAACTGCAGCCCCTCTCAGGTCAGACAGCCCTTCTGCCAGCCCAGAATCTCACCGAGAAGGCTTCGTTAGTTTCTCCCAGTAATCCACGTCGCATTGTTCTACCCCCACATGCTTGAGAGCCACCGGCACTGCGAGGGGGCGGCTGTTGGACCTACGCACACTATCAACAACACAAGTGATTCGCCACTCACCGAAAAGGCTTCGTTGATCTCCCAGTAAGCCACACCGCATTGTTCTACCCCCGCATGCTTGAGAGCCACGGGCACTGCGAGGGGGACCCTTGAGGCTGATCATACGACCAACAGCTGAATGCACCGAGAATGCTGAGGAAGCACTCGCTAAACTCACTGAGAATGCTTCGTTGATCTCCCAGTAATCCACGCCGCTCTGTTCAACCCCCACGTGCTTGAGAGCCACCGGCACTGCGAGGAGGCGACCCTTGGGCCCACCTTCACGACCAGCAACACCAGTGATTCACAACTCACCGAGAAGGCTTCGTTGATCTCCCAGTAATCCACGTCGCTCTGCCCCACACCCGCATGCTTGAGAGCCACTGGCACTGCGAGGGGGCGACTGTTGGAGCTAAATCACACAAATAACATCAGCGTGCACCCTGAGAATGCTGAGGGACCGCTTGCGAAGCTCACCGAGAAGGCTTCGTTGATCTCCCAGTAATCCACTTCGCTTTGCTCCACCCCCGCATGCTTGAGAGCCACGGGCACTGCGAGGGCGGGCGCCGTGGTGAAGCGGTTGGGTGCTTGCTCCGCGTCCCCGAAGCCCCTCAGCACTGCCAGCACGTTCAGCCCGTGCTGCCTGGCGGCTTGGCGGCTTGCCAACACCACTGCTGCTGCCCCGTCGCTGAGAACGATGGGAAACACAAGGGAAACAGTTGAGGTTGGAGTGCGGTTGTGGCATGATGATGGTTGCAGAAAGCGAGGATGACTAGATGTAGAGAGAAGCCAGATGCCAAAGGCAGGGGAAGAGCTAGGGGTTTTTGAGAATTCTCAAAAGGCAGGGGAAGAGCTAGGGTACTTCATTCAATGACACAAATACTTCTCCCTTCGACATTCCAAGGCTTTTGCTATCCAGAATGGTGTCGCCAGCTGGCGTACCTGATGGCTGAGGCGTTGCCAGCTGGCGTACCTGATGGCTGAGGCGTTGCCAGCTGGCTTACCTGATGGCCGAGGCGTTGCCAGCTGTGACGGTGCCGTTCTCCTTGAAGCATGGGCGCAGCAGGCGGAGCTTGTTTGCGTCAAACTGGCCGTCGGAAGGAGAAAGAGGGAGGGTTGGGCAGCGAGCAGAGGGAGGGAGACAATCAGTGGAGTAGGAGGTTGTGGTGAGTAGCGTCCAATGCTGTAAATGCACTGGAAGCATGGGCGCCAAAGGCGAAGCTTGTTGGCATTGACCTGGCCGTGGGAAAGAGGGAGGGACGGGTGGTGCAAAGGGAGGGAGGGAGGGAGGGAAGGAGGGATGTAAGGAGGGAGGGAGACAGTTAGCCGAGTAAAGGCTTGGTTGTTCTGGGTAGGTTCCAACACACTTCTGGGTTGTTCTGGGTAGGTTCCAACACACATAGGTGGAAATCAGTACGAATAACTGAGGGGGGGTGGAAAGAAACAAAGCACATGAGAAAAGAGAAGAAGCGGATTCAAGGCGAGGGAAGGAAGGAAATGAGATGCACGAGTACTTAAAAGCAAGGTACCAGATACAACGAACACATGGAAACAAACAAACAGATGCTCCAAGGTCAAAACAAACAGATGCTCCAAGGTCAAAACAAACAGATGCTCCAAGATCAAAACAAACAGATGCTCCAAGGTCAAAACAAACAGATGCTCCAAGGTCAAAACAAACAGCAACATACTGAGGGTTCCAAGAACCCCCACTCGAAAGGTTCAAGTCAAGTACCTACTCCGCTCCTCCCTTTCAAGAAAAGTAGAGCTTCGGGCTCCCTATCAATCCCTCCCATAGTACCCATCACAACACCCTTTCCCACACTACGCACACACCCTTGAGCACACCACACCACACCACACCATACCCCCTTTCCCACATACACACCCTAAGCCACACTCCCGTTCCAACACCACTCGCCCTTCCACACACCCAACACCCCCCCTTTTCCCTGCATCTCTGTCCCAAAGCACCTACCTTGGCACACGGTTCGTCCCGTTCAACAAGAATCGTTTGCTTCCCCTTCGAGGCCTTCACCTCCACCTGAGCCATGGAACGAGGGGAGGGGGTGTAGGGGGTGAGGGGGAAGGGGGTTAGGAGGTGGGTTGGGGGGGAAGCAACAACCAACTTCGAGTCTGCACCTCCACCTGAGACACATTCGCTCATGCACATTAGGCACTCCCTCACACACTCCCTCACACACTACCTCACACTCACCGACTCATGAATGGCCTCACGCTCCTCCTCCTTCACTCCCACCCCCCCACCCACTCACGCACAGACACAATCTCAGCACGGTCAGCATGAGCAGCATGAGCAGCAGCTTTCCCTCACACTCTCCCTCACACTCTCCCTCACATACTCCCTACTTCACTCCCCCTTACACACTCACGCACAGACACTCCCAGTAAAAAACGCCATCAGAATGGGCAGCCGCAGCCTTATTTCTTGGCTTCACACTCAAACTTTCCTTCACCCCCATTCCCTCACCCATTCACGCACTCCCTCACACTATCCCACCCACTCACGCACAGGCACAATCTCCCAGTCAAAAGCGCCGTCAGCATGGGCAGCAGCAGCCCTCTCGTGTGTGGCCGTGGCATGCTCGTCCTGCTGCTCCCGCGCTATGCCATGCTCCTCCGCACACTGCTCTGCAAAGCACCCCATGGGATCCTCTGAATATGCGTCGCTGAGGCCGTCCCTCTGCACCCCATCCACCATCTCCCCGTGCCCAAACCGATACCCACTCCTGGTTTGGACACAGCAGCAGGGAAGGGTTCGGAAGAAGAAGAGGGGGAAGGAGGGAGTTAGCACAGGGATGTGGGCGAAGGGCGGATTGAGGCACTATCTGACTCTCGTCCTGCTGCTCCCGCGCTATGCCATGCTCCTCCGCACACTGCTCTGCAAAGCACCCCATGGGATCCTCTGAATATGCATCGCTGAGGCCGTCCCTCTGCACCCCATCCACCATCTCCCCGTGCCCGAAACGGTACCCACTCCTGGTTTGGACACAGCAGCAGGGAAGGGTTCGGAAGAAGAAGAGGGGGAAGGAGGGAGTTAGCACAGGGATGTGGGCGAAGGGCGGATTGAGGCACTATCTGACTCTCGTCCTGCTGCTCCCGCGCTATGCCATGCTCCTCCGCACACTGCTCTGCAAAGCACCCCATGGGATCCTCTGAATATGCATCGCTGAGGCCGTCCCTCTGCACCCCATCCACCATCTCCCCGTGCCCGAACCGGTACCCACTCCTGCTTGCACGCAGCTGGGAGAGGGAGGGGAGGGAGAGTGGTAAGGGAAAGGGATGTCTGAGTACGCATCACTCCGCCCATCTCTCCGCACCCCGTCCACCATCTCCCCATGCCTGAACCAGTACCCACTCCTGTTTCACATGCCGTGAGGAAGGGGGTTGGGTGTTGCGACATGGCGGAGAGGGGGCGGAGGTAGCAGGAGGAAACACGGGTTGAGTTGAGGCTCCATCAGAATCTTGTCCTGCTGCTCCCGCCCAATGCCATGCTCCTCCGCACACTGCTCTGCAAAGCACCCCATGGGGGTAGTGCTGAGGTAGGTACGTTGGCCGCCTTAGTTTGAGACGTCGCAAAACTGGACCGTAAGGTTTGTAGCTCACCGTGCCTTTTTTTAGGCGCCCCAAAACAAAACTGGACTGTAAGATGTGTAGCTCACCGTGCCTTTTTAAGGTAGTACGGCGCATTGCTCACCATGGGGTGTATTTCTTGTAGCAATAAGACGTGTCAGTATTGCTCACCTTGCCTTTAAGGTGCATTTTTTGTGGCGATAAAGCATCTTCATGTTGCTCAATTGCCTGAACGTGTATCTTCATGTCGTTATGAGGCATGTATGATTAGGATAGGCTCACTTGGCCTTATTGAGGTAGTAAGGCGCGTTGCTCATGCTCTCCATTCCGCCCGCCATCAGGTGACTATTGGGTCGACTCAAAAGTCACCTCGTGTATGTATAATGTAGTAAGTAAACTGTGTTACTCACCTGGCCTTATTGAGGTAGTAAGGCGCGTTGCTCATGCTCTCCATTCCGCCTGCCACCACCACGTCTGCCAGTCCCAGCATGATGGCCTGTGCCGCCAGACATATGGCTGCAGGCAGACAGTGGGAGTGCAAGAGAAAGGCATGTAAGGGGTCAGCCAATGTAATGTCTACCTGTCACCACCACCGTGTCAGTCAGTACAGGAATGGCTCTCTATTCCCCCCGCCACCACCACGTCTGCCAGTCCCAGCATGATGGCCTGCGCTGCCAGGCATATGGCTGCAGGCAGTAAGGGGTAAGCACGAGAATGGGGCGGGGCCTTCTTCTGAGTCATCCCACGACAGGAAAGCTTCAACACGTCTGCCAGCCCCAGCAAGATGAATGGATTATGCCGCTAGGCATTTGGCTGGAGACACAGGGAGAGGAGAGCCAAGGACAGGGCGGAGTAAGGCAATGGAGGGGCGAGGGCAAAGGAGGGGCGGGGGCAATGGAAGCGCGGCGCAATGAAAGGGCCTCCTGCGTCATCACAAGTGGGCTACGGCTGCAGGCACAGGCAAGTTGGATATATGCATCCACTGATCCAGGGCCGGCATTATGGATGGAGTGGGCAGCAAGTAACACACGCGTTCAGAGCGTACGAAGCACATAAACGCATCCCTCGTCACCAAATCACAACTCTGATCACTCTGATCATCACCACATCCCACCCCTCGTCACCGCATCACACACCCTTCATGCCGGAGGCACAGACTTTGTTGACGGTGGTTGCCACCACGGAGTCAGGCAGCCCTGCCCCAAGTGCCGCCTGTCTGGCTGGCGCCTGCCCCAGGTCCGCACTCAGCACGTTGCCCATATACACCTCCTCCACATCCGCCGGCCCCAAGCCCGACCTCCCCACGGCCTCTGCAAGAACGAAGGGAGGAAAGAACATGAATTTAGTTGGCGCCTGCCCCAGATCCGCACTCTGCACGTTGCCCATATACACCTCCTCCACATCCGCCGGCCCTAGCCCGGATCACCCCACGGCCTCTGCAGGAGAACAAGTGAGGGAGGGACGAAAGTGGATTCAGATATGCACACACCAGTTGGCGCCTGCCCCAGGTCCGCGCGTTGTCCATACATACCTCCTCCACATCCGCCGGCCCCAGTCCCGACCGCCCCACGGCCTCTGCAGAAAGTGGACTCAGTTATGCACGGAACTGCCGGCGCCTACCCTAGGTCCGGACGCAGCACGTTGCCCATGAATACATCCTCCACATCGGACGGGTCACCTTCCCACGACGTCCGCAGGGAAGACAAGGTGCGAGGGAAGAAGGTGCAGCCCAGCGAGTGCGAAAGGCAAGGAGTAAGACTCCTGACCTCTGATGGCGATGGCGCCGAGCTGCGTGGCGGAGAGCGAGGAGAGTGAACTCATGAAGCTGCCCATGGGCGTGCGCGCTGCTCCCACTATGCACACCTCTGGACAAGGAAGGAGACGCAGAGAATAAGGAATGACCGAGAGAGGTTAACGGCATGGGAGAATGGAGTGGAATGTGAAGGAACTCATTGTCACGTCTGAAAAAAGCCTAGGAAAACAACGCCCTGACAGTCCAGTAGACCTAGTTACTGAGCTCGCTTGTACGCTGTGAAAAGTGCGAGAGCGTTCACGCCAGGACAAGAATACAGTTAATAAGTGGAAGGTCACCCTACATTTGCCATGTCCCGTCTGCACGTTCGGCCACTTGGGTTTCCAGCTATTTCGGAAAAAGAAACGGGGTATACTACTGAGCATTTACATTACGCCGTACCCCTGGGATCAAATTCGTCATTTTGATGCTCGGCGCTGTTCGCTTCTGCTGGTGGCGCGGTGGTCGTTGACGAACCAACCATCAGGACTGGCTGATGCTACACAACAGACACGGAACCTGTAATGGATGTGAGGAGAAGTGCTGCTGCAGCTGTTGAGAATAGACACGCGGATATTGGCGTCCTCTTTTATCCGCGCTTGAGTTTAATCCGTGCACAGGGACACCTACAGAACAGATTTGCTCAACCTTGGTAAAGGGTGACGAGAAAGTAGTAAGTATAGTGGCTCTAAATCTGGAATTTCGACGCAGTGAGATGCAGGGCCAGAACGACAATGCTCGGCCTTTAATGCTCGAGACTTGTGTTCTTGAGAAGAACCAAGTTATTCTCTGGACTTGAAATCGTATGGTCCAAACGCCTCCGAAGTTGGTTCCTGCTGAGGAAAAGCAGTCACAATTCCAACAGCGGAATGCTCGCCATGGATTCACGTTTCAGGGATACTGGAAGGTCGTCTTGGGAGGGGAGGGTGTGATGAGGGGAGGTTGATGAGCATTTGACGAATATGGTAACACGTTTTCGAGTAGACTAGAAGGGATTGCACAGAAGCTGCGAATTTAAGCGACCTTCGCATATTCTGATCTGACCAACAACCGCGTTGTGGTTGAGAACAGATGGAGCAGGGTTAGCTTTTGTGGTGGGCGTTGCTCTTGTTGTGTGAGCTGGAAATGATGCTGATTTGCTGGACCTACGGCGGGAAAAGCTTGATTGTTTCGCGGAATGTGCGGGAGCCAAATCGCGCGCGATTGGTTGTGGTCCTGCGCTATATGCGATAAAGGATCATCCAGCGGTTTTTTACAGGGTTTGCACCCACCTCGCGAAATGCTGGAGTTTCGATTTTGATAACTTTGCTAGTGAACGACCACCACCCTAGCGCGCGAACCTCGGCGGATCCCAGATGCGCGATTTCCTCCAGCACCGACTTTTTCGCCCATCCATATCCACCCGTCGAAATTCCCAAGGCCTCATCCCGACCGCTTGTTCAAAATGCTTGGTCTATTCACATGTCTTTCGCAGTGGTCCAGAAAGCGAAGGCAATGACACCTAGTTCCTGAAAGGCGTGTCTACTTGAGACGAAAGACAGGATTTGAACAGCTTCGGTCTGTACCGAACCCCCGAGGTGAACTGTGACACAAAGCTGCAAATAGCAACTCGCGTCCTTTGTAAGTCCCAATACAAGACAAGGATATTCAAGGAATACGACCCATCACTAAACGCACACAGCCAACTCCAGGCACAGCAATGAAGTGACGGGGATGTGAAAAGGAGCTTATGTCATCCAGAGCTCTCCGCCAAATTCGCGAGGCGTGGATCTCGAGGTAGCGTGTGATCAGGCAGCAGGACTGCATGTGGCTGTTCGCTGTACCGAGGTAATAATAGAAGAGTGCTGTTTAAAGAGATCCATCACACGCCGTCGATCTGTATCAGGACCAGCAGGTGAAAGGCTCTTTTCCTTCTAGGCTTCCTTCCAGGCTTCCGATTCCCAAATCCGAGTTTTGAGATTCGGTTTTAGCTCTGAACTTGGGAGTAGCTCCGAACGTTGGACCAGTTGAGTAGAACAAGGTCATCCCGAGACTTGTAGCACTCACATTGTCCTGCTGTAGGCGTATTTCTCGAGATATCTCTGATTTCGCTTACATCTTCATCCACTGATTTTACCATGGCGTCGGTGGAGATCGCTCGCATGCTGCCGATCATCGGTCCGCGTCTCGCGGAAGCGATGGAGGGGTTGAATCCGTTCGTGATTCCCGTCGGCGTGGCGTTCCTGGTCGTCATCATCGTGCAGTACCTCAGGTACCGTGCTCTGCTTACAGTGCTCGATGATGGGAGTTTTCAACAGATTCGCAGCGATTCCTGCTCCAGGTCGTCATTCTTGTCTTCATCATCATCATTGTCATCATCCTGCAGCACTTGCGGTACACGCTGGTCCAGTGCTGACTGATGGGTGTTCTCCATGAATTCTCAACGATTCCTGCTCCCTATCCCCCCCCCTCCCCCCAGTTCGACCCCCAAGAGGCATCTGTACGGCGTGCTTCTAGATGCCGGCACGCCCGGTCTAACCTACCGTCACGCGCACTTCCCCACGCTGCTCGAAATCCCCTTTGACGGCGCAACCACCGTCGCCTCGCTCTTCGTCATCGCCTCCCGCCGCCACCACCACCGCCCGCTCCTCGGCACGCGCAAATTTCTCTCGCGGGAAACAGTGACCAACGAGGAAGGGAAAGAGATAGAGAAGCTTGAATTTGGCGAGTACGAGTGGGAGTCGTACTCTAAAGCGTTGGATCGGGCGGAGGCGTTTGGCGGGGGCTTAAGGAATGTAGGGCATGGGCGCGGGGAGGCGGTGGCGATTGTGGCGGAGACACGGGCGGACTTTTACTTGGCGCTGCAGGGCGCGTTTCAGCAGAGCCTGGTGGTGGTCACAGTGTATGCGTCCCTGGGGCAGGAAGCTTTGGTGCACGCACTGAATGAGGTAGGTCCGTAGGGTGTTGGGGTGTTGTGGGGAAGAGGGAGAGGGCAGGGGTATTGAAATGGCATGGGGAAGAGGGAGAGGGGAGGGGAAGGCGGTGGCGATTGTGGCGGCGACGCGCGCAGACTTTTACTTGGCGCTGCAAGGCGCGTTTCAGCAGAGCCTGGTCGTGGTGACGGTGTATGCGTCGCTGGGGCAAGAGGCGCTGGTGCACGCATTGAACGAGGTACGGTGGGGGTTAGGTTGGGGTTGGTGTTATGGTTGACCGTTTCAGCAGAGCCTGGTGGTGGTGACGGTGTATGCGTCGCTGGGGCAAGAGGCGCTGGTGCACGCATTGAACGAGGTACGGTGGGGGTTAGGTTGGGGTTGGTGTTATGGTTGACCGTTTCAGCAGAGCCTGGTGGTGGTGACGGTGTATGCGTCGCTGGGGCAAGAGGCGCTGGTGCACGCATTGAACGAGGTACGGTGGGGGTTAGGTTGGGGTTGGTGTTATGGTTGACCGTTTCAGCAGAGCCTGGTGGTGGTCACGGTGTATGCGTCGCTGGGGCAAGAGGCGCTGGTGTGTGTGTTGAATGAGGTAGGGTGGGGGTGGTGTTGGGCCGGTGTCAGTGTTGGGGTTGGAGATGGGATTATTACAGTGGACGCATTTCAGCAGAGCCTGGTGATAGTGGCGGTTGAGTTGAATTGGCTGCTGTGTTTTTTCATTCCACCCTCCCCCCTTCTTCTTGTCATCCCACCCCTGCCCCACAGCAGACGTACAGAGGTACCCACTGTATGTTTTTTGGGCGCCTAAAAAATAAACCCCTCTCCCCTGTCACCCCACCCCTGCCTCACTGCAGACGGACAGAGGTCATCACTGTCATCTCCCACCACCACGTTGTCCCACTACAGACGGAGGTCACCACAGCGGTCTGCGACCACAAGGAGCTGGAGGAAAGGCTGCCAAGCTGACTCACAACTCCTCCATTTTATTCCTACCCTCCTTCCACCCCCCAACACCCCACTTCCCCCACGACAGACGGAGGTGACGACAGTGATATGCGACCACAAGCAGCTGGAGAAGCTGGAGGAGGCGTCCTCCAAGGGCGAGCTCAAGACCGTAAAACGAGTCATCATGATGCCCGAGCCTCGCCCGCTGTCCGAGGCTGGAAAAGGGCCCACCAAAGCAGAGGCTAAAGTTGCGACGGGACAGCTGGCGCCAGGTGTCGCGCTGCTGGCGTTTGCTGACGTGGAGAAGAGCGGCGTTGAGTCGCCGGTGACGCCAGAGCTCCCGCAGCCGTCGGATCTAGCGGTGATCATGTACACGTCGGGATCGACCGGGCTGCCCAAGGTGAGGGTTTCACACTTCCGGTGGTGAGGATGTCACACCCACAGTGGTAAGAGTTTCACACTCACGGTTGTGGGTGTAACAGTTGTCTTCAGTCCCTCCCTGCCCTCCCTGGCAAGGTGCCATGCCATCACATGTCAACTTTGTCGCAGTCTTTGCAGCCATCATGGCTCAAAAGCCCACACCAACTAATCGACAACTGGCTAACTGACTCGCATTCCACCCTCTCGCCCATCTCCCTCCCCGCCTCCCTGCCCTGCCCTTCCCACTGTTCCCCCAGGGCGTCAGGCTATCACACGGCAACCTGGTGGCAGTGTTTGCAGCCATCATGGCTCAAGTGCCCACACTGTCTGCCCTCTCTGCCCTCCTCTGCTATACTTGCCCTCCCTGCCCCCCTCCCTCCCCTCCAGGGCGTCATGCTATCACACGGCAACCTGGTGGCAGTCTTTGCAGCTATCATGGCTCAAGTGCCAGATGCCAATTTCAACGACGTCTACATCGCATACCTGCCCTTGTCACACGTGCTCGAGCTGGCAGCAGAGGTGTGTTGACTGGATTGAGCTACCAGTACTCTCTTAGAATGCACCATGTGTTTGCAGCCATCATGGCTCAAGTCGCCAGATGCTAACCACAACAATGTGTACATCGCCTACCTGCCCCTGTCTGTGTTTGAGTCGACTCAGTTTTTGAGTCGATTTTTTAGTCGACTCAGTTTGTCGACTCAAAAACAACGTGCACATCGCATACCTGCCCCTCTCACACGTGCTCGAGCTCACTGCAGAGGTGGGTCGGGGATTCAGATTACATCAGTGTATGGAATAGGGACTCTTGTGTGAGTAGGAGACTCAAATTTCTGATGCCAGCTTCAATCAACGATGTGTACATTCCTACCACAGACATTTCTGTGGTTAGTGAATCAAATCTTTTGAGTGCCTACCTGCCCTTGTCTCAAGTGGGGGAGCTGGCTGGCAAGCTCGTACTAAGACTCGATTCACTTACCACAGAGACGTGTACAGGGTTTAGGTGGGATAACGGTTCAGGGTTTCAGCGTAGGTTTAAGGTTTCGGGTTTGTTTATTGACGTTCCCACTGTTGTATCTTTGCACCTAGGAGCAGTGTCAGTGGGAGGGTCTATAGACTACGGCTCCTCTCTCACACTCGTTGACATGGCGCCCAAGGTCAAGTCAAGCCGGGAAGCAAGGGAGGCTCATCCAATATCTTCTCTTCCATTGTGCTTCCCTCGCACCCCTGCAATCGCTCCAGCTAGGAGAGGTGTCAGTGGGAGGGTCTGTAGGCTACGGCTCCTCTCTCACACTCGTTGACATGGCGCCCAAATGTCAGTGGGAGGGTCTATAGGCTACGGCTCCTCTCTCACTCGCGCTCGTTGCCATGGCGCCCAAGGTCAAGCCCTGCAGCAAGGGAGGCCCACAGAAACGCTGCTTTTCCATTGCTTTCTCCCCCCCGCACCTTCCCGGGCCACCCTCATGCACTCGCGTGCATTGAGGTGTGTTTTGAGGCGCCTCAAAACGCACCTTCCCGGGCCACCCTCATGCACCCACCCACCTTTTGCCCAGGCCATGCATGCCACCAGCTAGGAGCGGTGTCGGGCGTTGGTTCTATAGACTAGGGCTCCCCACTAACGCTCGTTGACATGGCACCCAAAGTCAAGCTGGGCATCAAGGGAGACGTGCCGCAGCTGCTCTGACTTAGTGTCCTGCCTGCACCCACCCTCATGATCCCCACTAGTGTCCTGCCTGCACCCACCCTCATGATCCCCACTAGTGTCCTGCCTGCACCCACCCTCATGATCCCCACTAGTGTCCTGCCTGCACCCACCCTCATGATCCCCACTAGTGTCCTGCCTGCACCCACCCTCATGATCCCCACTAGTGTCCTGCCTGCACCCACCCTCATGATCCCCACTAGTGTCCTGCCTGCACCCACCCTCATGATCCCCACTAGTGTCCTGCCTGCACCCACCCTCATGATCCCCAGTAGTGTCCTGCCTGCACCCACCCTCATGATCCCCACTAGTGTCCTGCCTGCACCCACCCTCATGATCCCCACTAGTGTCCTGCCTGCACCCACCCTCATGATCCCCACTAGTGTCCTGCCTGCACCCACCCTCATGATCCCCACTAGTGTCCTGCCTGCACCCACCCTCATGATCCCCACTAGTGTCCTGCCTGCACCCACCCTCATGATCCCCAGTAGTGTCCTGCCTGCACCCACCCTCATGATCCCCACTAGTGTCCTGCCTGCACCCACCCTCATGATCCCCACTAGTGTCCTGCCTGCACCCACCCTCATGATCCCCACTAGTGTCCTGCCTGCACCCACCCTCATGATCCCCACTAGTGTCCTGCCTGCACCCACCCTCATGATCCCCCCCAATCCCTTGATCACCAGCTAGGGGCAGTATCGGTTGGAGGATCCATAGGCTACGGCTCTCCTCTCACACTAGTGGACATGGCGCCCAAGGTCAAGCTCGGCACCAAGGGAGACGCGCCGCAGCTGAGGCCGACGCTGATGGTGGCGGTGCCTGCTATTCTGGACCGCATTCGCGATGCTGTGAGACGCAAGGTGAGAAAGATGAGGGGGCGAATGGTAAGAAGGCTTTCTAATCCTGAGGAGAGTCTCCTGTCCCTTGCTTCGGCTGTGCCTGACGCTGATGGTGGCGGCGCCGGCTGTTTTGCATCGCATTCGGGATGCTGTGAGGCAAAAGGTGAGGATCAATTGGGGCTGAGTGCTGGGGATAGTGTATGAGACAGGCAGTGAGAATGCAGATTGCAGCAGACAGCAGCAAACAGCAGCAGACAGCAGCAGCGCTTCTGGACACGAGCACACTCTTCATCCTTGTCTGTTCTTGAGGGACGGTACCAACACAATGTCTTACTTCCCCCCCGCCCCCCACAGATACCAGCAGCACCACCACTGGTCAGGCGCATGCTATTCAACCTTGCATCTATCCGCCGCCTGGCCGCCATTGACGGAAACTGGCTCTTGAATCGCTCCGAATCGTCTCCCATTGGCTCTTTTCTCTTGCTCCCCTTCCTACCAGATAGCAGCAGCGCCGCCAGTCAGGCGCACGCTATTCAACCTTGCATATTCGCACCGCCTGGCGGCCATCGAGAGCAGCTAGCTCTTGGGTTGCCTCTCAAGGTGTCTCCCATGCATTCCCTCCGCTCCCTACCTCCCTCCATCACCTCCCCTTTCTCCAGATAGCAACAGCACCACCAGTCAGGCGCACGCTATTCAACCTCGCGTATTCGCGCCGCCTAGCAGCCATCGAGGGCAGCTGGTTTGGCGCGTGGGGCGTGGAGCGGCTGTTCTGGGACCTGCTGGTGTTTAGAAAGGTGTGTTGCGGTGATGGAGGGAGAGGAGGGTTGGGGGGTAAGGGGGATGGGAGGGTTTGTATATGTGAGGTGATCACTGCCTGGCAGCCATTGCGGGCACCTGGTTCGGCGCGTGAAGCTTGGAGCGTTTGTTCTGGGACCTGCTGGTGTTTCGAAAGGTGAGATGGTGGTAGAAAGGTGGTGGAGGGGAGGGGGGGAAAGGGGGCTAAGGGGAGGGTATGCTTTGGTCAAAGCCTGCCTGGCTGACATAGAGGGCATCTGCAATTTATGCTGTCATTTGAGAATTCTCAAAAAACACGCAATTTATGCTGTCACGGGGGGCTCCTCTCTCACAACTTACAACCGTTTGATTTCCCTCCCACTCTTCCCTTCCGTGCACCCTCTCCCCATCTCTCTCTCTCTCACCAGGTGCGGGCAGCAGTGGGGGGGCATCTGCGATTCATGCTATCAGGGGGGGCTCCTCTCTCTCCCGACTCACAACGATTCATGAACATCTGCTTCAAGTGAGTTCTGGCTGGGCTTTTAGCGAGGTTCGGTAGGCCTAAACCCGAAACCCTCTGGCGCTGCCCACAGCATCCCAATCAGCCAGGGCTACGGGTTCACAGAGACAGCAGCGGGGGAATCTTTCCCAAGGAGACAGGTTTCTTATCATCGTGTCCTCCTTTCCTCTCTCCCCCCCTCCCTACGCTTCATGCCCACAGCACCCCCATCAGTCAGGGCTACGGCCTCGCAAAGACAGCAGCGGGGCGGGGAAGATCTTCTCAGAGTGGGAATGGGCCGCGTGGGGCCGCCCATGCCCTCCCTTTCTTTTCCCCCATTTCCCCTCCTGTGCTGCCTGCAACCCATCCCTGCACCACAGCACCCCCATCAGCCAGGGCTACGGGTTGACAGAGACAGCGGCAGGGGGAACTTTCTCAGAGTGGGGCGACTCCTCTGTGGGCCGTGTGGCGCCGCCCATCGCCCATCCCCTCCCTTCATTCTCTTCCCCCCCTTTCCCACACCTGTGCTGCCTGCACCCCGCTGCCTGCTGCAGCATCCCCATCAGCCAGGGCTACGGGTTGACAGAGACAGCAGCAGGGGGAACTTTCTCAGAGTGGGACGACTCCTCTGTGGGCCGCGTCGGGCCGCCTATCCCCTGCAACCTCATTCGGGTGGGTGGTTTAGATGTGACCTTGGAGTTGACTCCGGAGAAGGTGACCAGGGATTTTTTAGTTGTCTCACTAGGTGATGCTTCCTTGGAGCGTGTGGGGCAGGCAACCCTTTCTGTGTCGGCTACGGTGACAGAATTGTTTCCCTGCCCCACAGGCCCGTGCAGGGTTCTCAACCCATTCCGGATCCAACTCTCGTTCCCGATCCTCGTTCGGATCCCTAACTTCACCACGCTCCTCCCTGTGCCTCTTCCCCACTTGGATCCCCTCAGCTAATCGACTGGGAGGAGGGCGGTTACCGCACGACAGACCACCCGCACCCGCAGGGGGAGATTCTGATTGGCGGGCCGAACGTGAGCCTGGGGTACTGGAAGGACAAGGAGAAGACTGCAGAGGTGTTCTCGGTGAGTGGTTGACTTGCTTGACTCAATCAGACTTTGTTGCCTGCCTTGCTTGACTAACTTGTCTTCACTTGTTTGGCTTGCTTCACTTGCAAAACAGTTGGACGCACACCCATATTGCAAGCAAGGTGTGAGGTAATTTCACACGTGTGAACATGTACTTGTTAGCGGCGACATGTAGCATACGGTATGTTAGAGGTGGACGCTAACAGGTGTTAGCGGTGCTTGAATAGTGTCTTCCACTCCATCCTTTTCTTCCCCATTTGTCATGACTTGCCCACAACCTCCCAACAGGAGGACGCACAGGGCATGAGGTGGTTCCGCACGGGGGACATAGGGGCAGTGCATGCAGACGGGTGCATTCAGATCATCGACCGCAAGAAGGACATAGTCAAGCTGCAGCACGGGGAGTACGTCTCCCTCGGCAAGGTGGAAGCCGTGCTGCAAGTCAGCCCTTTTGTCGATAATCTGCTGGTCTTTGCGGATTCAACTAAGTCGTTTGCGGTCGCGCTGGTGGTGCCGGTGCCGGCTGCGGTGACGGATTTCGCCAAGAGTAGAGGGATTGAGGAGGAGGATTATGCGAAGCTGTGTGGAAGAGAGGACGTGGTGGGGGAAGTCCTGAGATGCCTGCAGAAGGTGCGTTGTCTGAGTGGAACAAGGTAGGCTGTCTCAAAGGTCATCTGTCTCAGCCCATGCTGCAAGTCAGTCAGCCCCTTTGTGGAATTTCTGTTGGTCTTTGCCGACTCCACCAAGGCAGTTGCCGCCGCGCTGGTGGTGTCGGTGCCGGCTGCGGTGACGGTTTTCTCTAAGAGTAGAGGGATTGAGGAGATGGATTATGCGAAGCTGTGTGGGAGGGAGGCTGTTGTGGTGGAAGTCCTGAGATTCCTGCAGAAGGTGCGTTTGTTTCCTACTCTTTCACCTGGTTGACCGGATTGAGGAGGGGGGTTTTGCGAAGCTGTGTGCAAGAGAGGACGTGGTTGCGGAGGTGCTGAGATGCGTTCAGAAGGTGTGTTTTCCCGTCTCTGTTTGCATTCTCCCTTCCATAGGTAGTACTTGGTTAAAAATTCAAATGCTTTTTCAATGACTTGTCCCATAGCTTATTTCATACTTTCTTCCGTCATTTCTTCCGTTCTATCTTCCATGCTTTTTCCTTCCAGGTGAGCAAAGACGCGGGCCTCAACAAGTTTGAGGTGCCCGCAAGGATCAAGCTGCTGCCCGATCCATGGCTGCCCGAAAGCGGCCTCGTGACACCTGCCCTGAAAATTAAACGCAACGTGATCCATAAAACGTTCGCCAAGGAGTTGAAAGAGCTTTACGAGTAGCTACATGACTAATGTTTTGATTCTTATACAGGGGGCTGGCTGTAGTGTCTACTACAGTATGCTGTGAAGAATATCCACAAGGCGTTTTCCAAGGAGTCATAAAATCTCCATGTGTAGGGTAGGTCTGATGGACTTCACACATGTGGTTACTGGATAAGATTGTACAATTCTGAAAGGAGCGTACCTTCATTCTCAGAGGGGGCAAAAGCTTGGATTAAAGCCTAGGGTGAAGCTGAGTGTGTGGACCATGACTTGCTGTGAATTTTGTTGAAGGCCATGTACCAAGGAGCTGTTTTGGCGCCAAATGCTGGTTAATGGTAGGTGCATGCATGATATTCTTGAATAGAAAACATAGGTATCAAGTTGTGCTGTGCGGCTGCTTGCTTCGTGCGTACCTTCACAAAAACAGTACACATTACATTTACTGTATTGCTGCACATTGCTTGCCAATGCCAACATCGCTCTTGGCCTTGATATGGAATGGTGGGTGCATGGGACCATGTTCCATCCACAAGGCGTTGCGCAGGGGGCAGTACATGCCCTTTATTATCAAGCCCGGATCCCGATGTCCCATCCGAGCATAGCTCCAGCAGATCGACATGTCAGCTCTAGGAAGGAATGCAGCACACTCCTCCTGACATGCCTTACTCAATCCGCTCTCTACCTATGAAGGGGTTGCACCGCCAGCACCGACCGCACCGCGTGGCCAAACTGGTCCTTCCATGTCAGGCTTCCGAATTGGAAATTAGGAGACGCTGTTGCGACAGTGAACCGGACACTGAACGAAACAGTCCCCATAGGAGGGATGGTGAATTTATTGGGACTTATTGCTGTGATAACACCAGGCGGTGTAACGATAGTCGAAGTGTAGCTGGATACCGTATTCGCGACGTTCTGCACCGTTCGCGATACTAGCACCGTTTTATTCAGCCGCGAGACGGAAATTGTTGGACGGTTCAAATTGTACGCCGGAATCGGGGACATCTTCGTTTTGATTGGCGCGAAAGACTTGGCGGTCACCAAATTCTGGCCGGCAAGAAAGTTGTAAAAATCCGCAGCGTTGGTGGGAAAAGTGAGCCCAGGGTCCATCAGACCATTGGGATTGACGTGTCCCGCTCCCATATCCCACGGCGTCGCCTTGTTTCCAGTCGAACTCGTTTCAATCGGCCCGTTGTTGTTATTAGTCACGCTCGCTGTAGTCATGATCGCGGACATGACTTGCGACGGCATCCAAGCAGGGTATCTTTCGACGAGCAGCGCAGCGATTCCCGCCAAGTGCGGAGTAGCCATAGACGTTCCGCTAAGCATGGCATACGCGGGGGTGGAAGCTGATGCGAGAGACGAGGACCGCGCAGCGGCCCATAGAGAAACGCCGGGACCGATTATATCGGGCTTTAAGATGTCGTTGGTGGGGAAAGAAAGTTTGGTTGCAGTAGCGGGGTTGACGAGTGGACCAGCAGACGAAAAATACGCGACTTCAGGGGCTTGATCGCTGGTTAGGTCTGTCTTGAATGAGTATGAGAAAGAAGCAGTCGGGCTGGTGGAGGGGGGAGCAAGGGGGAGAGGAGGGAAGAGCAGGAAGGGGAAGAGGGGGAATGGGTATGGGACAAGAGGAGACTCGTGAGTCAAAAGAAGAAGCAGGCTCAGGGTACCCAGTCGGTGGTTAGGTCTGTTATATGGAAATCACTTGTGAGAATTCTCAAAAGTGATTTCCATTGGAAGAAGAGGCTTGAGATTCCCTGTCGGTGGTTAGGTCTGTCTTGAAAGTGTAGGACCAGGATGCAGTTGGGCTAGCGGGTGGGTGAGGGAGAGGGAACGGGGGGAGAGTGACAAGGAGGGGAAAAACTGGTAAGTGACGGTGGGACACTCGTGAGTCAGAAGAGAATAAGCGGCTTTGAGGGCTGGTTGGTGGTTAGGTCTGCCATAAAAGCGACACTTAGAAGTGTATGCGAAGGAAGCAGTCAGGCTGCAGGAAGCGGGGAGGGGAGGGACAGCAGGGGAACCTCAGGAATGGGTAGGTGAGGAGAACTTGCGAGTCAAAAATGGCTTTTCAGGCGCCTCAGAACAAATTTTTCAAGGCGTGTCCAAATTTTTTTGAGGCGCCTAAAAAACAGTGAGAACTTGCAAGTCAAAAGAGGCTATGGTCAGTGGTTGAGTCTGCCTTACAGGTTCGAAGGAAGCAGTTGGGTTGGTGAAAGGGAGAGAGAGAGGGAACAGGAGGGGAGGGGTGGCATACGTCTGCGGACAAACTTGCTGTGCGCAGAAAGTGAGTGTAGTAACCCCTCACCTAACCATAATGCGGGTGTACATGCGCAGAACACCCGTCTCGCTCGCCTCTGCTCCCATGACAGGCAGCCGAGCCTCATAAATGGGGTATGATCTCGCTGCTGCCGGCACATCCACCACAATCACTGCCTTTCCGCCCTTGCTAGCAACCTCTGCTGCCTTGCTGCCTGTGCTGGTCCATCCATAAGAGCACAGCACGATCTTCCCTGCGATCTTGGTGGCGTTCAGTGCACCTGCAAAGCAGTACTGGCCCTGGTAGGTGGGGTAGGCGAAGGGAATGAAAGGGAGGAACGGGAGGAGAAAGAGAATGGATGAGGGATGGGTTGGTGCTGGCGCTGGTCCGTCCATACGAGCACAGCACTATCTTCCCTGCAGTCTTGGTGGCATTCAGTGCACTTGCGAAGCAGTACTGGCCCTGCAAGGTGGGGGAGGGGAACGGGAGGAAAGGGGGGAGAAAGGGAATGGACGAGGAATGGGTTGGCGCTGGTCCATCCATACAAGCAGAGTACGGTCTTCCCTGCGATCTTGGATTGACTTTTGAGAATTCTCAAAAGATATTCCCTTCGACCTTGGTGGCGTTCAGTGCGCCAGCGAAGCAGTACTGGCGCTGCTAGGTTCGGTAGACGGAGGGGAACAGGAGGAACGGGGGGAGAAAGGGAATAGACGAGGGATGGGTTGGTGCTGGTCCATCCATACGAGCGGCCCATAGAGAAACGCTGGGACCGATTATATCGGGCTTTGAGATGCCGTTGGTGGCGTTCAGAGAGCCTGCGAAGCAGTACTGGCGCTGCTAGGTGGTGGTGGTGGTGGAGGGAGGGAGGGGGGGAGAGGGGAGGTAGCAGAGGGGAAGGAGTGAGGACAAGTAACATTGTCACTCATAAATGGGGTATGGTCTTACTGGCACACTCACCACCAGTATTGCCTCACAAGTCATACATCACGAGTCACGAGCCCCTGCCTGAAAGCCATCCAGAGACTTAGTTTCAGGCACATGTGCCCTTCCCTATGCCTACCTCGGTCTCAGTCTTCCCTGCTGCTCTCACTGCAACCCCATCCACAAGCCCTAGCCTCTGCACTCCCACGTTTCCCGAGCCAAACCCGTACAGCTTCACCACCCGCCCATCGCCCAGCGTGGCTGAAGAGACGTAGCTGCGAGCAATGGTGCTGGAGGGAGGGAGAGGAAGAAGAGGGAGAGGAAGAAGAGGAGGGGGAAGGAGGCAGGCAGAGATGGGGTAGAAATGAACACATAACCCAAGACCTTCACACGCCCATGACGTTTAATGAACACATTACGCCAACCCTTGGAGCACCTGAGCACTCACCTTGCGCCAACAGAAAATCACCTGAAATCTCACCTGGCGCCAACAGAAAGGCACCTGGAAACCCACCTGGCGCCAACAGAAAGGCACCTGGAAACCCACCTGGCGCCAACAGAAAAAAACACCTGAAACCCACCTGGCGCCAACAGTGAGGTAAAACGGCGAGAAGTTGGAGATGCTGCGATACATTGAAGAGGTGAGAGGAGGCGGACCGGAGTTCCCCGCTGCATAAACCACCACCGTGCCGGCCAGATTCGCGTATAAATACGGCAGATCGCTGAAATACGTGGCACTGGGGTCTGCGCCGCCCAGAGAGAGCGAGATGACGTCAACCCCGTCAGCAACAGCCGCGTTGACTGCTGCCTCCACGTCAGCATACGTGGCAGTGGTCCCGCCTGCGTCGGCGTTGCCCCAGAAGACCTTGTAGGCTGCAAGGAAGGCTCGGGGTGCCATGCCGGTTGCATAGCCGATGGTGGTCTTGCGGGGTGGTAGCACAATGGGCACGTTGCTGTTGCCTGCTGCCGCTCTGCACAATGGAGGGGAGAGGAAAGCAGCGGGAGGCGAATGGAGAGGGGAAAGGAGTTAAAAAAACGTTGGACTACTACAGCCATATGAGGTGAAGGGAAAAGAGAAACAGACAAAAAGACGTCTGATCCTGTGGACTAAGAGGAAGGCCAATGGTGGTGCCGACATGTGCCTTTCCAGGTGGAACTGAACAAGGGAAAGGCACGATCCGAGAAAGATATGGAACATAGCATGATGGTCCTTCAGAGTGTAAAATTGGAAAGCAAAAAATGGCGAGGTAAAGGGGTGTGGATGAATCACTCACGATGCACACCAGGTGCCGTGCCCATCCGCATCTCGAGCCGACGCCCAATCAGCGCGCAAGTCTTCCTGCCCGAACCACGCCCGGAACCCGGCACTGAAAAATCTCGCGCCAATCACCTTTCTGTTGCACTTAAAGTCAGATGTCACCTGACAGGTGCCTTTCCAGGTAGATGGAGGGTTAGGGTACGCAAGTTCGGGTAGGGTAAAATTTGAGGAAAATGACGGGTGTTCCGGCCAAATACCCGTGTCGACTATTCCGACCACCACGCCCTCCCCTGCCCGCTCGCGGCCCCGGGCAGTCCAAAGAGTCCCGGGCAGGTTTAAAAAGTTTGCAGAGTCGGTGGTGAGCTTGCTGATTCGGTAGTTGGACTTGACTTCTGCAACTGCTGGGTGCCGCTTCAGCTGCTGCAGCTGCTTAGGTGTCAATCGCGCCACAAAGGCATTGCTGACGTGCTTGAATCTGGAAACGATGGGGGGGAAGTGGGCAGAAGGAAAAAGGGTGATGAGCTGGCAGAGGGAAAAAATAGGTTTGAAAAATCGAGTGCAGTGCATCTACAGTAGCATATTAGCTTCTATTGATTGTTACAACTCACTTGTACAGTACATTCGCGCGCGGCAGACGCACGTCATTCGCAACTCCATCCTGCAGCCGATCGAGCCACTGCTTGAACTGTGCGACTGCTGGCGCCCCCAAGTTCATTCGCGTCGCTTGGCGATTCGCTCGGCGACGACCCCTGCGAATCCGGCCGGCCACTGAATTGATGACGTCAGACACAGAGTCTCTGACAGCCTCCGCTGCAGTGGCGGCTATCCCGTTGATTCCGCCAGTGTATCCCGCGATTGGCGGGGCGGCGCGAAGGCGGATGATGTAAACTTCAGATACGGAAGAAGGAATAACCTTGTCGACTGGTTTGTCCAGTAGCGGAATATCCGGCGGGTTTCCCGTTACATTGGAGGCCGACCCGTTAAAGGATTCTTCTGGCGTTTCAGGAGTCGGCGCAGGTTGCGATTCAGGCGCAGTTTCAGGTGGAATTTCAGGTGCGGGCGGCGGAGCGGCTTCCGAAGCGTCATTTTGCGATGGTTGCTGGGGCTCCAAGATGATCTCTGATTGGTCAGCTGCAAACGAACCGAATTTTAGAATCAGGAGCATGATAAGGCATACGCATGACAATCGGACACATTGCGGCAGCAGAACAAAAAATCCCTTAAATCACATTGGTCAAGCTCTCACCTTCTTGCCCGTAAACGAGGCTGCTTCTGGCGAGGATAAGTAGTGCTAGCAGGCAACCCACGCTGGCCCTTGACCAGGAAACTGAGCGACATCGACAAATCTCCATCGCACGCAATCCCTTTTCCGCTAAGTTCAGATCCTCCGCACCAGCTCCTGTGGAGACGCCTCAAAAGGAACCTTCCGTACCCGGTCCGATGACAACTTGCAAACCTACTAGTCGCCCCCGGTTATCTGGCGGTTTTGGTACTGGAGAATCTGTCCAGTGGTTTAACGGAAGGAAAGAGAAGAACGAATCTCCGATTCTAGTCTTAAATGAAATGACAACCTTCTGAAAAATAGTGAGCGAGAATCAGAAGCCTTGTCTGATCTCGAAGTATGGCTCAAGCGAGACGGATTTAGGGTTCGCTGAAATTGGATCTCGTGACATATGCCACCGACTGCTATCAAAGTAGTAGGAAATGGCGTGAAAAGACCTTTGTCTCTTCTCTTGCGTCGCCGCCGATAACAAATTTCGTTGCTTCTAGCGACGCGCATTCTTACTTCTACTACTAGTAGTACTTGAGAGACGAACATCGCCATTGACGCTTCTTGGCTAGCCACGAAGCACGTTTCTCCGAACCGGCGCGGATAGTGCCAGCCTAGCTACGAGCTGCTGCCAACTAAGCTGCTGCGCCCAATCTCCAGCGCCAGGCTTCTGCACCTCGGGCCTCCAGCAGGAAACACTCTGCAAGCTAGTCGCAGCAGGAAATTTCTCCTTAGGCATAGCACAGCAGTGACGACGGGGCGAAACGAGGCGCAGGTGGGAAGGGGAGGCAATCCCCCTCCCTTCCCTCTCCCCTCCCCGCTTCGCCCAAGTTTCCAATTCTACCTCCCTAGCCTGCCTGGCCGTGCGCGCAGCCCTCACGCCTCCTCTCTCGCGCCGCTGACATCGCGGCCACTTGCTGCGCTCTGGATGCCTATGGCGACTGTGGGATGGCGAATGAGTGACCTAGCGAAACGATCTGCCCGTGTAGCGAAGCTCGCCGTTGCCGTTTTTGTTTTCGTCGAATTTACCGCCACCTCAGTTCATCGAATGGTGCAGATGGTAACAAAGTGACTCTACAATCGTTAAAGCTCGCGGCCCAAATTGCGGGGCGCGCTGGCCAAGCTTACTGAGGTTGACGGGGGTGATGTTTTGAGTGCTGTTTGGGTTGCGAAGGGTGATTCGAGAAGTGAGATGCAATCTGATTGGCCAGATATTTTTTGTCGAATGGGAGAGCAGGGAACAACAACAATATGTTGATTGCAATTTGGGACTCTAGAAGCAAACCCAGGTTCGTTACAACGTATCGGTCTGCATGTTTCGCCAATCGATCTGCCCACTCGATTGTGGGGCTCGATTTATGCTCGCGATCCCGCGATATTTGCACTTTCAACGCGTCCTTTCTAAGGTTGAACAATTTGGGCCGCGAGCTTTAAAGCCCGGGTACAGCATGGTAATTTTCAAGTTCAAGATTCTTGAATTTGAAATCGTAAAAAACAGGGTTACCCTACTTTTTTGCTCAGAACTCTCGCGACTCTGGGACAACACCTAGCGACACTCTCTCCTAATTGGCTGATGTGCATGATCGCAAAACAGAACCGAGCGTCGCTCAGGTTGGCCCGCTGTTTGGCTCACACATATCTTGATGGCCTAGTAGTACTCATGACCGGCCTAGGCTCTCACGTAAGTAGAAAGCGAGTACGTAGTACCATGTGACCGCGATTTTTACGGCAATCATGCTGTCACTCATGCTGTCTCGACAATAGCTAGGCAGCACAAGCCTAGAATCGCTGTAGATTTTTTCAAACGTTGTCGCCACACTCACACGGAACGTATGAGCCACACGAGTGCGACACCATTCTACCCCACGTCTAGCTCGAGTCGTCACCCGCGCCCCCCCTCGCCAGTCGCGCTCCTCCTCGTCACTAGCGCCCGCCCTCGTCACTAGCGCCTGCCCGGGATAGAATGCCTCCCCTCGTCATGCGTTTCCATTCGTCACCCGCGTTTCCTTTCGTCACCCGCGTTTCCCTTCGTCACGTGCGTTTCACTTCGTCACGCGCGTTTCCCTTTGGCACGCGCATTACCCCTCGTCACGCACGTTTCCCCTCGTCACGCGCGTTTCCCCTCGTCTCGCGCATTTCCCCTCGTCTCGCACGTATCGCTTCGTCGCGCACATTTCCGCCACTCGCGCCCGCGCCTTCCTGTCACGCGCGCTTCCCCTCGTTGCGCGCTCTCCTCCCCTCGTCACGCGCGTTTCCCCTCGATACGCGCTATCCTCCCTGGTCTCGCGCACTTCCCCTCGTGAAGGGCCGAGGGGGAAAGATAGAAGGGGGAGGATGGAGGGGGAGGATGGAGGGGGAGGAACAGAGGGGGGAGGGCAGAGAGTGGGAGACGAAGGGTGAAAGCGGGTTCTCCCCTCCCTCATCCCTGCTTCCCCCCTCCCTTCGCCCTGCTTCCCCCCTCCCTCTGCCCTGCTTCCCCCCTCCCTCCACCCTGCTTCCCCCCTCCCTCCGCCAGGCTTCCCCCCTCCCTTCGCCCTGCTTCCCCCCTCCCTCTGCCCTGCTTCCCCCCTCCCTCTGCCCTGCTTCCCCCTCCCTATGCCCTGCTTCCCCCCTCCCTCTGCCCTGCTTCCCCCTCCCTATGCCCTGCTTCCCCCCTCCAACCGCCAAGCTTCCCCCCTCCCTTCGCCCTCCTTCCCCCCTCCCTTCGCCCTGCTTCCCCCCTCCCTCTGCCATGCTTCCCCCCTCCCTCTGACCCTGCTTCCCCCCTCCCTTCGCCCTGCTTCCCCCCTCCCTCTGCCATGCTTCCCCCCTCCTTCTGACCCTGCTTCCCCCTCCCTATGTCCTGCTTCCCCCCTCCCTCCTCCTTGCTTCTCCCCTCCCTCCTCCCTGCTTCCCCCCTCCCTTCGCCCTGCTTCCCCCCTCCCTCTGCCCTGCTTCCCCCCTCCCTCCACCCTGCTTCCCCCCTCCCTCCTCCCTGCTTCTCCCCTCCCTCCTCCCTGCTTCCCCCCTCCCTCTGACCCTGCTTCCCCCTCCCTATGCCCTGCTTCCCCCCTCCCTACGCCAAGCTTCCCCCCTCCCTTCGCCCTGCTTCCCCCCTCCCTCCACCCTGCTTCCCCCCTCCCTCCACCCTGCTTCCCCCCTCCCTCCGCCTGCTTCCCCCCTCCCTCCTCCTTGCTTCCCCCCTCCCTCTGCCCTGCTTCCCCCCTCCCTCTGCCCTGCTTCCCCCTCCCTATGCCCTGCTTCCCCCCTCCAACCGCCAAGCTTCCCCCCTCCCTTCGCCCTCCTTCCCCCCTCCCTTCGCCCTGCTTCCCCCCTACCTCTGCCATGCTTTCCCCCCTCCCTCCTCCTTGCTTCTCCCCTCCCTCCTCCCTGCTTCCCCCCTCCCTTCGCCCTGCTTCCCCCCTCCCTCTGCCCTGCTTCCCCCCTCCCTCCACCCTGCTTCCCCCCTCCCTCCTCCCTGCTTCTCCCCTCCCTCCTCCCTGCTTCCCCCCTCCCTCTGACCCTGCTTCCCCCTCCCTATGCCCTGCTTCCCCCCTCCCTACGCCAAGCTTCCCCCCTCCCTTCGCCCTGCTTCCCCCCTCCCTCCACCCTGCTTCCCCCCTCCCTCCACCCTGCTTCCCCCCTCCCTCCGCCTGCTTCCCCCCTCCCTCCTCCTTGCTTCCCCCCTCCCTCTGCCCTGCTTCCCCCCTCCCTCCTCCTTGCTTCTCCCCTCCCTCCTCCCTGCTTCCCCCCTCCAACCGCCCTGCTTCCCCCCTCCCACCGCCCTGCTTCCCCCCTCCCTATGCCCTGCTTCCCCCCTCCTTCTGCCCTGATTCCCTCCTCCCTCCGCCCTGCTTCCCCCCTCCCTATGCAGCGTAAAGGGAGTTGCAGCAGGCTCAAGAAAGTGTTGAGCGAACCCTCAACAGCTAGAACAGAAGACAACACTCGCATTTACCTTGAAATGTGTACACCATATTGCACAAGTTGCATACCTCAGTGATGTGCCCAGTTGCATCATGTAACAATTCTTTATCTATGGATGTTACAATGCTTTATCTAAGTTACAGATGTTATCTACGTTATCAAAGCTATCGCATGCGCTGGAAATCTAGAATGAACTGTTGCTATCAGATCGTTTGGTTGATACACTAATGCCACACACAAGCCGGTACAACTGTATAGAGCTTCACTATTTGGTTCCACCAAGGTGCAAAGAGCTTCACTCAAGAACAAAAGGGCTGGATGGATGTCCATTGTGGTGCTGTTGAGGAAAAAACAGAAAGGAGAGGAGAAACAGAGGGTAAGCTGGAGGGTTAGGAAGGGTGAGCAGGGGGGATCGTAGCATGGGGGAAAGGAAGAGTAAGCCAGGGGGGGCCATAATGAACATCAGGGGGGAAATGAGGGGACGCAGGGGGGGAAATGAGGGGAAGCAGGGGCGGAAATGAGGGGAAGCAAGGGAGGAAATGCAGGACAGAGAGGAAGGGAGCAAGGGAGGAGATTGGACGAGGGAGGGAACAAGGGACTAGCAGGGAGGGAATAGGGGGCTAACAGGGGGGAAGGAGGGGAAGCAGGGGGGGAAAGGAGGGGAAGGAGGGGCAGAAAGGAGGGGAAGGAGGGGCAGAAAGGAGGGGAAGCAGGGCGGGAAAGGAGGGGAAGGAGGGGGGGAAAGGAGGGGAAGCAGGGGGGGAAAGGAGGGGAAGGAGGGGCGGAAAGGAGGGGAAGCAGGGGCGGAAAGGAGGGGAAGGAGGGGCAGAAAGGAGGGGAAGCAGGGGGGGAAAGGAGGGGAAGGAGGGGCGGAAAGGAGGGGAAGCAGGGGCGGAAAGGAGGGGAAGGAGGGGCGGAAAGGAGGGGAAGCAGGGGGGAAAGGAGGGAAGCAGGGGCGGAAAGGAGGGGAAGGAGGGGCGGAAAGGAGGGGAAGCAGGGGGGGAAGGAGGGAAGCAGGGGCGGAAAGGAGGGGAAGGAGGGGCGGAAAGGAGGGGAAGCAGGAGGGGGAAGGAGGGAAGCAGGGGCGGAAAGGAGGGGAAGCAGGGGGGGAAAGGAGGGGAAGGAGGGGCGGAAAGGAGGGGAAGCAGGGGGGGAAAGGAGGGGAAGGAGGGGCGGAAAGGAGGGGAAGCAGGGGGGGAAAGGAGGGGAAGGAGGGGCGGAAAGGAGGGGAAGCAGGGGGGGAAAGGAGGGGAAGGAGGGGCGGAAAGGAGGGGAAGCAGGGGGGAAAGGAGGGGAAGGAGGGGGGGAAAGGAGGGGAAGGAGGGGCGGAAAGGAGCGTGTGCTGCGCGTCGCCAGCACCGCGCGCTGCTCGTCGCCCGGACTCCACCGCTGATAGTCGCGCGGTCACGCGGGCTGCTCGTCACCCGGTGCGCGGGCTGCTCGTCACACGGTGCGCGGGCTGCTCGTCACCCGGTGCGCGGGCTGCTCGTCACACGGTGCGCGGGCTGCTCGTCGCCCGGTGCGCGGGCTGCTCGTCACCCGGTGCGCGGGCTGCTCGTCGCCCGGTGCGCGGGCTGCTCGTCACCCGGTGCGCGGGCTGCTCGTCGCCCGGTGCGCGGGCTGCTCGTCACCCGGTGCGCGGGCTGCTCGTCGCCCGGTGCGCGGGCTGCTCGTCACCCGGTGCGCGGGCTGCTCGTCACACGGTGCGCGGGCTGCTCGTCACCCGGTGCGCGGGCTGCTCGTCACCCGGTGCGCGGGCTGCTCGTCGCCCAGTGCGCGGGCTGCTCGTCACCCGGTGCGCGGGCTGCTCGTCACCCGGTGCGCGGGCTGCTCGTCACACAGTGCGCGGGCTGCTCGTCACCCGGTGCGCGGGCTGCTCGTCACCCAGTGCGCGGGCTGCGCGTCGCCTGGAACGTGAGATGCTACTAGATACCTGGAGCGGGGACTCGCGCGGTCCGCTCCTTCGCCCTTTGAGTGCTCTGCTCCACGCCCGGTGGGCGATTCGAGGGGACCGAATCGCGTCCGCTCTCTTCTAGACTGTTGTAACGCCTGAACTACACAACACTATGGTCGTTGAGCCAGTATTCTGATGTGAGGCTCGTAACGTTTCCTTTGTCGGCATCTCTTTACTGACATCAGTCTGAATAGGTGGCGTTGTTAGTAGGATGTGCGGAGCTCTGGTTTTCTATTTCCCGTGAGCATAGTCGAGTTGAATTGGTTCTGCCAAGACTGATAGTGCAGCCTCACTTTCCTTGTGCGTTGTAAGAGTGGGAGGTGTTGCGAAACCTTCTGATTGGCTGTCTTCTTCACCTCATGCGACCCACTTTTCGCTTTGGGTTGGTGGGAATCGCAGGTTTGGTATGCACGAAATGCCGAATTGCTCGTGGAGGTTTGTAGTTCTCGCCAAAGCCACACAACCGAAATAGGTTTTGCACACCCTCACGTACAGCCTATCTCAAACCCACATAACTTGAAGCTTTACCATGCTGACCGCGGGCTTTAAGGACGCGTTACAAGTGTTGGAAACAACAGGTCCTAAGCGCATCTGTCGTGTCGAAACACTAAGGCACGAGCGAAGCGAAGCATACCGAAGCACCGGCGAGTCAACCCTCGGAGGTTGAAGTAACCGCTGGAGGTTACTCGAAAGTCAAAGGTTAGCGACCTTTGACCTGATAAGTACAGCGCGACAGCAAGGACACACAACTGACTCGACATTGAGCAGTTGCCCGAGTCGCAATGTATCGAACCGCAACAGCAAAACAGTTTAATTATATCTCTTCGTATTCTTTGTACTCTTATATAAACCTTTGTACTTGCTTGTTTTAATCAACTTACTTTGCCCTCACATACTAGCGCAAGGTGGTTTAGAATCTCTTTGTTAACGCTTCCGCTACTACATCTCTCTACCCAGAGATTAACCCTACCAAAGATCCTAAGGGGCACTCAGCCCAACATGGTATGAGAGCAGGTTAGGGTTAAGATTCTATTTCCCCTTAAATTACACCAAGAGACATGTCTACCAGAAAGGAGAGGAGCTCCTCCAACGGCTCTCCTGGTACTACTCCTAGTCCTGCCTCTGGCCTACAAACAGAGGAAGGCACAACAACGAGACCGGCCGCTGGGTCTACTGAAACACCTGCAAACCAAGGCGCGGGCTTCGATCCAAGCATGATGGAGAAATTCTTCTCCTTCATGTCCTTCTACGAGCAGCATCAGCAAGGAGTACTTGCGCAATCAAACAACAGCAACAACAACAACAACGTGACACCCATGAGTCTCGATGGCTCATCCTACGCACGCGGGAATCAACAACAACAACCTACCTTCGCTCCGTACGAGCCCCAGCGCGGCTCCGTCAGCTTCATGCCACAACCACAACCTGCACCGGGACAAGAGAGAACACTGGACGCACTACAAGTTCAGTCACAGTTCGCGCACGTTCTAAAACTACAAACGACAAAACCCTTCGACGGGAAGGATTTCTTCACCTGGTCGTTCGAATTCGAGCTGATGATGGAAGGAGCGCAAATCCTTGGCTTCTTTGACGGGTCCCTGCCATACCCAACAAACGGCACACAATATGAGAAGCAGCAGTACACCTATCAATCAATGATGGCGTACACGATACTACTGAGGAACATCACCCCGACTCAACAGCAGAACATAAGGACTTACCGAGGATACGGCAACTCCGCGGAGCTCGCGTACAACCACTTGAAAAACCTGTATCAAGCAGCAGACAGCGTAAATCAAAGTCGGTTAATGGCGCAGCTGACAACAATCGAAATTGTGAAAGAAAGAACGAGAATGAAATGACTATGAACGAAGTGAGTACAAATAGGAAACCCTAATTGGGTTGTACCCCCTATGGGATACCCCACTATAGCCTACACAAATAAGTAAGCTATAATGGTCTGACACACCCCCATAGACAAAGTGGGGGAGAACAAGGGGTCACAAGACCAGTCAAGCAAAACAAAGCAAAGCTCAGGGTGGATCACAAAGTCACCACACATTCCGAGCACAAGTTCAAGGGCCACAAGGCCAGTTCACATGCAAGATCACATATAGAGATATACAAGAGTCAAGCAAAACAAGAGCAAGAGTATATATATAGGTCAAGGTACAAGCAAGGTCAAGAAGTGAGCAAGTGAGGCAAGACAGGCACAAGACCCAGCTGCGTGCAGCAACGCTGATGATCACAAGGCGCAAGTGCCTTGGTGAAGACATCAGCAGTGTTGGCCTCAGAGGCCACGTACGCAAGTCGCAACTGTCCACGCTGCTGTAGCTCACGAGCAAGAAAGTAGCGGAGAGCAATGTGCTTTGTCCTGTGCTCCAGTCGCTGCTCTCGACACAAGGCCAGCATGGCCTTGTTGTCTACGTAGAGGACTGGAGGAGAACGAGGCGGCTCTCCAAGGTCGGTCAGCAGGTAGGTGAGCCAGCGAAGCTCCTGAGCAGCCATAGCCCCGGCGTAGATCTCAGCCTCACAACTGGAGCCGAGAATAGAAGACGAGCGGGTAGCCCGCCACGAAACAGAGCCGGAACCAAGGCTGAAGGTGTAACCCTGTGACGACCGCTGCGTAGCCTGGTCGTCAGCCCAAGAAGCGTCCGCGTGCCCTGTGAGGACCACTGGACTGCGCCCTCCAAGCACTAGCCCCATGCCCGACGTACTGCACAAGTAGCGCAACACCCTCTTCGCTGCAGCCATGTGCTCTGGTCGGTGTCTCCCAGGAGCAACATAGCGTGCGAGAATGCTAAGAGGGTATGCAAGGTCAGGACGTGTGCAGGTCATCAGGTACATGAGGCAGCCAACAAGCTCTGCATATGGGCCACTCGACTCTACGGACTCATCCGAAGGCAGAGCTGAGAGCGAGTGACGAGAAGGCAGAGGAGTGGCCTGAGGCGAGGAGTACGTGAAGCCGAAGCGCTGAAGGACCTGCTGCACCATGTGTGACTGAGTCAGGGTAATGGTGCGGCGTGCTCTGTCCCGGGTGATCTGCAAGCCAAGGTAGCTGCGCAGTTCACCCAGGTCTGTGCACGTGTGTCTCTTCCGCAGCTCGGACTTCACGTGGGCGAGTCCAGCAGTGTCAGCTGTGGCAAAGACCAAGTCGTCGACATACACGAGGATGTAGAACGGCGGCAGCGAGGTGTCGGTGCGCAGAAACAGCGACGGGTCGGCAGTAGAAGGAGCAAACCCAAGTGCCGCCAGTGTAGTCCTCAGTGTGTCGTGCCACTCACGTGGCGCCTGGCGGAGACCGTAGACTGGACGCCGGAGACTCCACTGGGTACCAGGAGGGAAAGACCCAGTGAAGCCAGGCGGGCGACGCAGCCAGATCTCCTCGTGCAGGCTGCCCTGCAAGAAAGCAGTGCTTAAGTCGAGAGAGTGCAGCTCGTAGTCACGGTGAGCAGCAACGTGCAGCAGTACCCAAAGAGTGGTCATCTTCGGGGTGGGGGAGAAGGTCTGAAAGTAGTCAACTCCCTGCCGCTGACTGAAGCCACGAGCCACGTAACGCGCCTTGAAGACAGGCGGAGAACCCGGCGGCCGCTTCAACCTGAAAATCCACATGCCACGGACGATGTTCGCCCCAGGAGGGGGAACAGCGTCAACGTAGGTGCCTGTGGACTTCCAGGAAGCCATCTCTGCATCCATAGCTGCCTGCCACTGAGAGGAGTAGGGACCCTCTATCGCCTCCGCATAAGAGCGCGGAGTCGGGATGTCTAGTGCATCCGGGTCTCCCTCAGGGGCGAGTAGTACAAACGCGAGATGAGGTGAAGCGGCGGCCAGACACTGGAACTCCTCCTGCCTGTCCTCAAGGACGTCCGTGCCTAGGGCACACTCACCCCCGACGGACGGAGGACAGGCACACTCAGACTCAGCGACAAGACTAGCAGCGTAGTCTAGACGACAGCGCGCAGCAAAGTCGACAAGCTCAGTGACAAGGGCAGACGTAGCAGAAGACTCGAAGGAAGGGTCAGTGACAGCAGTAGCAAAGAGACGCGTGACAGTGGGACTGGCAGCACGAAGAGAGTCCGACTCCGGGTCGGCAAGGGCAGGAAGAGAGGACTCAAGAGGAGAAGGCAAAGGGGCACGCAGGGGAGCAGTGGACGGATGCAGAGACATCCGGTGCGTGCCAGGGACAGGAGGAGGACGCTGACGCGAACCGCGACCACTAGTGCGAGCAGGACGAACAGGCGACGCAGGTCGAGACGCAGGCTCACGACGCTCAGTAAGACCTCCAGTCGGACGAGCGTAGGGAGAAGGAGCAGGCAAAGGGGAGGCAGGCTGTAGCTGTGACTGGGACTGGACAGGCTGTAGACCCTCTAAGGGAGGCGGAGGAGGACCAGGAGAAGGTGTAAGACCAAGAACCTGCTGCACGAGCGGAACGAAGTACGGTCGGGGCCGCGTGGCGACGCCAGAAACAGCAGGGACAGCACGAGTACCCCCAGCAGGAGTACCCGCTCCAGCAGCACCTCCAGCAGCACCTCCAGCAGCACCAGCAGTAGCTCCAGAACTCCCAGCAGCACCAGGAGCACTGCCAGTCGGACCGCCAGCAGTAGTCTCAGCGCCAACACCCTCAGCAGCACCAGCTCCAGGAGAACCATCAGGCCCAGCAGCTCCAGCACCCACAGCACGAGCACCTCCGGGACACGCGGCAGCAGCACCCTCTGCAGCCGAAGAACCTCCAGCACCAGCAGTACGCCTCCAGCGCCGGGCAAACCACTCACTCAGCTCCTGTGGGGAGAGTGGCTCTCGGCGCGACGAAGCACCTCCAGGCGGAGAACCTCCAGGCGAAGAACCTCCAGGCTCAGCACCCTCAGGCAAGGCCCCTCCAGGCGGAGCACCCCCAGTCGCAGCACCCCCAGGCTCAGTACCCCCAGACTCAGCACCCCCCGGCTCAGCACCCCCAGGCTCAGCACCCCGAGGCTCAGCACCCCAAGACTCAGTACCCCTAGGCTCAGCACCCCCAGGCTCAGCACCCCCAGGCTCAGCACCCCCAGACTCTGCACCCCCAGGCTCAGCACCCCCAGGCTCAGC